GCACACCGCCAACTGGGGATGTGCCCGCAACCAAGGTACATGCCCCTGACCGGAATCGAACCTGGGACCCTTCAGTCCGCAGGCTGACGCTCCATCCACTGAGCCAAACCGGTTACGACTGAAATCTCATTTATTGTGTGTATAACACTTTAGACCCAGCAAATGTTGAACAAATGTCAACTCCCCTCTCTTCCCAGCTTTCTTAGAAAGCTCTCAGGTACCCAGCCCCAGAGCAGTGCAATCATTAGGGGAAATGTACCCTCATTCTTCAAAATTCCCTTCACCTGGCCTGCTCTTATTATTATTGTCAATGGTATTTAAATAAGATGGCTCTTGGAACTGAATATTAATCATTTCTTATTAATCAAATACATATAGTTTATCAAGAAATATTTTTTGAGCTTCCAGAATGTGTCAAACAAGGAATGGATAAGGGAGGACGTGCTCCAGCCTTAGGAGTTTGCCAAAGGAAACTTGCCCGAATGTCTAGAACATTGACTCTAGACATGTCGATTACTCTCCTGTGTTGGGCTCTGTGTCCCCTGCCAAAAGCTAGTGGACTGCTGGCCACCCCCCATGTGGCTGCCTGGGAGCTGCCGAAAGGACGCTAGTGCTGTGCCCCACCCTGCAGTATCCACCGGCCCCTCAGGTTATGTCCATCACAATCATGACTGACTTGGGGGACTACATTTTAAAACACTGTGCAACCATGTGTTCCATTTCCTCTCCCACCCATCCTTGAAGGTTGGTGAGATCTCTTTGGCTGTAAATACACGACCTTTCTTCCTGCTTTGGGTCTGTCTAGCACTCTAGCCATTGTAAAGGGTGCAATAAACACTGAGTGAAAGTCTGCACCATCGCTGGTGATGCCAGGGGCAGACAGAAAATGAGTTGAAGGTGCCAATGAGGCCACATTGTCTGTCTAATCTATAAGGATTCACAGAGACATCCTGGCTGATTGCTGTGTTCCCTGGACTCTTGCTCCTCAAATCATGGCCCAGAGACCAGCAGCCACAGCCTCACCTGGGAGCTTGTTAGGAATGAAGAATCTGAGCCCCACTTAGGACGGTTGAATCAGAACCTGCATTTTACCAAGCTCCCGGGAGACCCATATACACAGTAGAGTTTGAGAAGCATCCGTTCAGAGCAGGGCTGGCAAACTTTTTCTGTATGGGGGTCAGAAAGTGAATATGTGATTGCTCTGTGGGACAGACAGCCACTGTTGTATCTACTTCACGCACTCATTGTAGCTTGAAAGCCACAGACAATGTGGAAACAAGTGGGTGGAGCTGTGTTTCAATAAAATTTATTTCCCAAAACTGGTGTGGCTGGAATTGGCCTGTGGGCCAAAGTTGGCTGATGGTGTATACACTTGAGTAGAATCACAAATCCTAAGGGATAGCTGTCCTCAACCTGGATACTGCCAAAGGGTTCCACACAGTGGTATTTCCAATTTATAGTTCCTAGGATGTAAAAGAAGTTTATGTTCTGCCAACAGTTGGTTTTGGTGGACTGTATGACTTTTGACAATCCGGTATGTAAAATGATTTTAACCTGTTGAACGTCTTTGCCAAAGTCAGTTGGCCGCCTGGGTTTCCTTGAAATATTTACCATTTTCTTATTGATTTATCAGAGCTCTTTTTATATTCTAGATATACATCCTTTGTCACTTATGAACATTATTTTTACTTGTCTTTTCAGTTTATTCCTTCCTGAAATCAGATATAGCCAAGTTTATCAATCTTTTATGATTTGTATAGTTTTTGTCTTGTTTAAGAATTCTCCCATGTCTCAAAGTCATAAAGATAGCCTCCTAAATGTTTCTATAAATGTTTTAAAGTTTGCTTTTCACATTTAGACATTTCACATTTCCATCTCTCTTTTATCCTATTGTATGAAGTGCCATTATTCAAATTTCCTTGATCAAAAGAATCACCTAGAGATACTTGTTTAATTACAGAACTCCTGAATTCAGACCTCCTAGGAGACAGGCCTTGAAATATTTTTATAATCCTGGTTGGTAAAAGTTGGCTTAACGTTTAGCAGATGGTTTAGGTGCTGGGCAGGACCACCATTCCACCTGGCTTCACGGTCTTGCACACATCACTGAGTCTCCCTTGAGAGACTTCTTAGGAAGAGTAAATGAGAAGAAGTACATACATGGCTTAGCACAGGGCCTTTCCCTGTGAACTGGGTTGCTTTATTCTCATGGTAAATGTAATCTTATTTCCCTTTTTGCTTTGGCTACCAGGGGGCTCAGAGTTAAATTTCTGGCTCAACCATAATAGCAATTCATTCATTTATTCTCAAAATTCCTTTATTCACTTAGCAAATATTTATTGATCACATATTGTGTCCCAAACACTGAGGGAAGAACAGTGAACAAAATCGATGTGGTTCCTGCCTCCGTGGTGCTTACAG